AAACAACCTTTAACAAAAATGCAACTTCTACACAAAATGACAACAACAAAAAAATTCTGTTCACCACTTATTTAAACATGAGAAGTGCTCTTTTAGTCCTTGTGTTGTTTTATTAGTAGCAAACTATGAGCATGAACTTTCCACCTCAGCTTATTTGGCAGTGGTCACAGATGTTGGCTGACGTGCTGCAGATGGCAGACTTCCCTCCGAGCACAAATGAGGTTTCAGCTATCTCGTTTTAGCAAAGAGCAAATCTTAGGAGACGGTGGTGGCGTCCACGGTGGCCACAGCCAAAAACAGCCTCAGATATTTAGTAAAACACAAGAAAAAAAAAGTAGGAGGCATCTGGCAGAGGAGAGGTCAATTAAAAAGGCATACAACTTTAAAAAGTTAAATGACATTTTTAGAATGGCCTTGGTCACCCCAAAGAAATGGAGATTTTCAAGCCCCACCTGTGCCTGTTGCCCCAAGAAAAATCTTGTCAAATTACATTTTAAATGTATCAGGCTCACACCAAGTAACGTCATATTTTATATTGAATTAAAATCAATACATTTCAAAAAAGAAACTAAAAGTGCTGTTGTTACAAAGACGGTTGAGTCAAACATTAATTGACAAGCCTAGTCAGGTGGATTCTTACTGCGTTCTGTGTACTTGTGTGTATTTTCGTCACTCTACATGACAAAGTCTTCCGTGGCTTTTGTTCTGCTGGTGTGTGAAGTCGATTTAAATGCCACAATCAACAGTGACACATACACCAAAAGTTGATGACACTTTATCGCACCGTTCAGAGTATGATGGATGACACCTTATCTGTGTACCCATGACGCCCCAGTTCATCATTTACCAAATTATTCAGCGATGACAAAGGGGCTGATTATCAGGAGCGTGGCAGACATCATTCATATCTGTAACATCATCTAATTAAAAGACATCACTCCTGCCAGACAGTTTCCTTAGTGAGAGCAGAAAGCAAATTGATTCTCAGCGCCTTTACAGTGTCTTAAATAGAAGGAATGAATAATGCATGAACTTTAAAATCACCTCTTTTGTCCTGATATACAACGTCGTCACATTTACAGAAACCACAAAGGGGACATGGATGCAGGTCCATGATCAGTCACATGGTATTCAGGGCTGTTAATGTCTACGCAGCACTGTATTTTCCTCAACCACGAGATCGACAGATTTATGTTACCTCGCTCCCTGCTTTACGATGGCCCTTTAAAGCATTTGCATGCTTCTTTACTGCTGCCACTCAGAGATTATGTCAGCGCTGAAGTGAGAAACCCAAATGCATTTTTGCCTCAGGCTCTAAATTGGTGATCTATAAGGTCCAGGTACTGCTTGCACTTTAACAGGACTACTTCCCCGCAGTGCTCACTTATTCATACAATCATACTAGAATTCAAACATTGAACATTATCACTCTGGGCATTACTGAAGAGCCCAGTAACTGATGATGTCATAGATGTGAGTTCAGCTCTCCATGTAGGAAATATGCAAAGCTGGCTTTAACAGTGTGATTGATGTTATGTATGAAAAACCCTAGTATGTTGGACTTAGGGTGTTGTATTAACTGCAGAATTACTAATAAGTGAAGAACTTGGAACAGTGGTTCCCAACCTGTTATGGCTCGGTACCCCATTTTGATATCACAAATCTCAAGTTGCGGCAGCTCAGATGTTTTTATTTGTCGCATTTTACTTGAACTCAATTCATTTCATCTCATTGTTATCATAGGAGACGGGCATTAATCATACACCGTAGAAAAGCAGATTGACTCGTGAACCACCACAACATTAACACAGGACAGGATCAGAGCTTTAACCTGACCTCAGCCTAGACCTTTAACATCCTGGTACACGCTCTCCCCACTGAGAGTCATGAGTTCTTGAAAGACAGATTGTTGATGCAAATTACTAACATGTCATGTGGCTCAGTATTCTGACTGCTCTGCATGTCTCCTAAACAGTGGGAGTGTTATTGTTGTGGAAACCATGTTTGTGTGCCACATCAATCAAATACAACATCACATGACTACTACTGAGGATTGAGGAATCAGTTCGTAAGAACTGGACCTCCGGTGGCAAGAACCTGTTCCTAGATTATTATCCCGACTAGTTTAGTTTAGTTTAATTTACCGGTTATACTAAGGGTTATAGTTCCAATGCAAAACAAAGTGTTGTAGTCTGTGTTCAAGGCCATTGATGTCAAAATCCACCTTTGTGGACTGGAGGTAGACAAACAGATGTTGTATTGAGTCTTTGGTCAAAAGCTTATGATACCAGACGACCCCCCCTCGACCCCTTCCTCCCCGTTTAACATCCACACTGTCGAGTTGACAGTACCATGAGATGCTAGACCGCTACAAGAAGAAGTGGCTGCAGAATACTAAGACAAGCTCACATCAACGCCTATCACCAAGGCCCATCACCAAACAGCTGTTCAGCGGAGGGCGGCTGTGATTGGCTCACTTCAATCTCCACCGTAGGGCTTATTAAAGACGAGGGGATCTGTCAGAAAGTGGTGCACTAATAAACTATCAAGAAGTCATCAGGAAGTGCTGAGCGCTGTAGCAAGAGGATTTGGATGAGATGGAAAGATGCCAACTTGGCCTCAAAAAATAGGGACACACATACACACACGTAGGACCAACTGCAGTATTTGCAGTCTCAGTGGAATGTGTGTTGTGTTTAAAATGCTGAACCATCCAATGAAACTGAGGTACACAGCTGGTGGTCTGCTTTAACACTGAGCCAGTGCAAGTGCTGCGATAAGACCTTCTGCAACAACAGTGTTATTCCTTGTGTTTTAAAAGGAAATGAATGTTTATGTACTTTACAGCAGTGGTTCTCAATGTGAGGGCCGGGGAACATTTATAGGAGGGTGCAGCACAGTGAGTCAGTTTCACACTTCCTTTTTCCCTTTATTTGACTCACAGCGGGGAAATTGTTTTGTGAATTTAATGCCTTTGTTCATTGAGAATATAAAACATTGAGATGTTTTATATTTATTGATAATAAAGTTTAATGGAGTTTTGAAGTAATTGCTGCAGTGTGTGGACATCAGGGGCTCAACAATGGTGCAGTGAAAAAGTTTGGGAACACTGATTCACAACAAGGCTACTCAAAGTAAGGTCAACAGGTCATGTTTGGCAACCACATGTTTTATTCACAAAGCCACATTAAAAAATATGTGAATATACTGATTCACACATATTTACTTGATCCAGCCCTATTTCCTTTCCTGTTGCATTTTTTTACAGGATCTGAAATGCAGTTGTGTTTCAAGATAATATTTATAAAGAAAAGGGGGGGAAAAAATGTGTTTTTTACCTTGACACCCTCACTCTCTGAGGGTTATACTTCAAAAAATGTTTTAACACTTGTGTTACATGGTGGGTTTGATGCTTCTATATCTTCTTTTACATTCCAGGTGCCTCTCAGACAGATACAGGGCCACGTTTTTTAAAGTACCTTCAGAGTACTTAACACAGTGAAATTGGTTTAATGTGATTAAAATTTACAGTTGCTGAGAACCACAGTATATAGCCCTCCATATTGGTTAAGCACCCATTTGAATAAAACAAAGGCAAAAGGCCTTGATTTGTTTTTCAGTGCTTGAGACGTTGACACTTTTTCCAAGAGTACTTCATGTAGTAGAGGAAAAAAAATTACCACAGAATATGAGAAGTTTATTGAAAATCAGCCCCAAAGATGTACAAATATAAATTCAGTTTAGTTCATATTCCTTTGTAAGTGTTTCAGCTTTACTACCTGAACACTAAAGAGAAGTTTGAAGAGTCAAAGTGTCAGAGCAGCTTTTGAAGGGAACTCACCTCTACGTGCATCGACTGCTGTGTCTTTCTTTTCATGAGTGGCCACGAGCAATTTGCTCCCTCACATTTAGAGCTGAAGATTTACAGACAGATTCAAATCGTTCTCCCTCTGTGATTGCTCTTTTGACTTTTTTTTTTTTTTTTAAATGTGACTTTTTAAATGCATTTATTTCAAAGCACTGATGAGATAAAGGGCTGCTAGTGTATTCCTTCCCAGTGGTTAACGTGTCAAACCAGCTCAAATGTCAGAGGATGTTCTGTCAGAGGCATATTGAGCAAAATGAAAATGTCAGATGGCGCAGAGTCGGGACATGGATCACGAGGAGGAAACAAAGGATGGAGGCAGAGGAAACTAATGCACATTTGTCTGTGTCTCTTAGATATTGTGTGGCAGAGAAGTTGTCCTCAGTACGTTTACAACCTGCTTTACTTAGTTTTGTCAATGCTTTTCCCTGTGAAGTGACATAAATAGTTGGCAACAGTGTGTGGATCAGTGTGATTAAACCTCTGGCAGGAAATCAAAGCCTAATCCAATTTGATTTGATGCAAAGTCTGAGTTTCCGAAGACATTTAGGACTGTTAGTCTCTACAGACCAAACAAGATTCTTTGGAGATGCCAAACATGATTTCAAATTAAATATAAACATCTTCCTTTAAACTTTAAAGAGAACCAAAAGTCTGCATTTCTCCTGTTATTAAAAGCAGACGTTTGACTGTCTTTATCTGGTCTTCAGATCTCGATTTCTTGATTTCTCTGCTGCTATTCTAACTTCATCTCCACAGCCTCCTTCACTCTGCACTTTGAGATTATTCTGTGGTCTTCTCCTTAATCTTTGTTAAATAAATCTTAAGAAAGTCAGAGGCATTTCTATTAATCTAAAGTTATCTCCAAACTGCTCATCCCTCGCTGTCTCTCTATTATCCTCGTGTCCCATCTCCTCCCTTTGGGTGAAAAATGTCTTCAATGTTTTCTCATGTCCACAGAGTGTGAAGTGAAGTGAAAAATGGCATACTGTGGATATAATTTTGAAAAGTTTGTCTTTGTTTTTGTTTTTTTGTTTGTTTGTTTGTTTTTTGTCCTTTTGGTCTCTTTCTCTAGAAAAAAAAAGCTTTCTAATTATTTGTTGATTCAAAAAAACGTTTTTAAAGTTTTACTTACCAAAAGCCGTGTAAAACTCCTCTTTGGTCAAGTGCTCGTCGTCGTTGATGTCGTTGTACTTCAGCAGGTCAAAGAGCGTGCACTCCGAGAAGTCCTTGGTCAGACCTTCCTGCTTGATTACCTTCGGTGAGACAGCAGCATTATTTAGTCTAAACGTCCTCATCTACGATGTCCAGTGTGAAAAAAAAAACATTTCAGAATATGTACCTCATTTAGATACAAGAAAATCTGTTTAATAATTTGTAACCTTGAATGGAGAAATGTAATTTTCAAGACAAGGAAAATCTTGGAACTTCATACATATTTAAAATATCCATTAAAACATCGTATTTCCATTTTGCAGTACAGTTTCCAGTATTAAGTTTCGTACCGAGTGTTTCTGGATGGACTCGCGCTAATGCAGAAGTCATTAACCTTTCCTGACAATTAATAAAGAGCATTACATATTTAATTTATGGAGGGCTCTGTGAGGCAACTGTTGCTCTCCTAAATTAAAATCTTATATAACTTAAGTGGGATTGATGACATGGAGTATAAACAATACAGGAAGTGCTACCATTTATCTTTTTAATATAATTAGTGAAATGTTTGTTCATTGAAGAAAATCAATCAGTGCATGGAGGAAAAAAAATAAAAACTAGAGTGAGGCAAAGTCAGAGCAAAAGTGGGATTTTATTTTTTTAATCATATGGTGTTTTATTTAAAGAAATATATGGAAGGACAGGATTTTACTGCAGTGACTCGACCAAATAGAACTGAGAGAATTGCAGCTGGAATTCCAGGACATACTTTTACTACTGGCCTGCAAATGGCAGTAAAGCAAAGTCAATTTTTTTATTAAGAAATTATATATTTTAAAATGTTAGTTTTTGGTTCTTTGGTTTATAACTTATTTGTTCTGTTTAATACAAACAATTTAAATACAAATTGTTGTTGTATGTGGCTAGTGATATATTTATAAAATATACATGTGCTTTTCACCGAAGCTGTAAACATTTAAATGCACAGCTATTTATATATAAATAGAATAAAAAAAAACAACCAAGCAATTGTCTTAAAGGAGGTAAGAACACAGTGCAGATAAACCCTCCTTCTTTCATCATCATCATGATACAGCATGATCCTGTTGTACACGCCCTCCGTTTGGGAGCTGGCAGTAAAATCCATCACGGCAGATCAGCTGTCAGAGCCCTGATTACAGGGGACTGTTTTATACAACACACCTCAGCCACTGAATCAAAGCTCTTCCTCCCACAAGAACTTTAAAGTCAACTGTAAAAGCACAGTTCTGGCATTTTCTTTCAGAGACAAATAACTGCAGTACACAGCAAAGGGTACTAATGATTTGACTCTACTCCACGGACGAAAGCAGTACAGTCGTAGGAAACCAAAAGAGTTCTGGTTCAATACCACTTAGTCCCCTGATCCTGTGTTTGGTAACGTGTGGTATAAAGACCTCTGCCGAATCACTCCTGCCCCGGCCCACTCTGATGAAAGGAGTAAAGATTCTTCTTTATTTGATGCTATACTTCGTACTGTATTCTTTGCTGCTCTGTTTACCTCTGCAGATGTTCTGATTCCATTAAAACAGATCCTCTGCCTCCTCCTACAATTTGATACGAGCCACCTTCATTTCATGTTCTCTGCATTTTTCCTCTCTTTTACATTTCTGGATGCTCCATCTCCAAGGCCGTTGTCCTTTCAATTATCATCTCACATTCAGAAACACCTCCGATCTACTTCTTTCTAATATCTGCACTCTTGTTACTCCCTACGGAAATTTCAGGGACTTCATGTCTAATGATGCCAAAGCTGTCTTCTTAACTATAACTCAGAGCAGATGTCACTACAGTCATCTGCTGTAATAGTTACAGTATGTTCTACTGTAGCAACATTCCTTCTGCAACTCCGACTCGTATTTAAGCATTTTATCAATGCTTCAACCTTTTCCCTATAAAACCATTTGTGTCTCATTTGCTACATAAGATTCAACGAGAAAGTTTTCAAATTGTTTTGGGAAAAATCCAATTTCATTTAAAAAACAACCATTGTTTTGTGCAAAACATTCCCAAAAAAAAACCCAGTATAGGAAATGATGTACAAAAATATATATATCGTCTTTTTTGCCAGAGAAAATTAATTTTAGATTTATTAATTAACTTCTCAATCTCGATGTAGGGTAAAGTGCAACACTGACTGATTATTCAAATGGGTATTCATGTAAAGTCCTTCAAATTACCTCGTATCCTTGGCGTAAGCTGTGAAAAATAAATGCATCGCTTTTTCTGTTATCTTCACATGAGTAGGTGTGAGTGCGGACATGCTGTGTTGCTTTTTATTCTTGTTATTTTAAAGCATTCTGACACAAATATGCTGCTTCATGTTGAATGGAGTAAAAATAACTTTATTCTCCCGTTTCAAAGGCAGCTCCCAGAGACTTTAACGGTTCTGCATTTACCTCCTTATGTGCAAACAAAGCAAGTGAAGTCAAGTCAGTCTAGTGCAGGGATTTTCATGTAGAAATTGGAGAGAAAAAAAAGATCTGAGACTGGTCTAGTTTTAAAGAACACTGTAGAGTGGTAGCAGTTATAGGTTTGTACTCTCAACTGTAGATTCAGAGTCAGATGAACTCAGACGGTTCATTTTCCAGGGACTTCTGCACTGGACTCTTTAATGTTGTCTCTCTTTCAAGTCTCTTTTTTTTTCTTTTTTTTTTTTTGACAATAGAAAAAGAACAATTTGGAGCAGTGGTTAGTACTCTGAATATATGAATATATTTCTACATACAGTGCAGAATTCACTTAATGTAATATTATATAACATAATATGTTCAAATAATGTTCTAATATTTTTGGTCCCTTATCAGTCAGGGTCAACCTTTCACTCTAAATTGTATTGTAGTGCATATATATAGCTATCTCTCTGTGTGCTAGGTGTAAACTTTCCAGGATTTACCCCTCCCTTACCTGATGACACCTGAGTTACTGTTCTCTCCACTCTCACTCTGTACAGTAAAAAAAAAAATCCATATTTATGTCTTCAACTTGAGAAGACATCTTTTATTACATTTTTTTTACCAGCTTCATTGATCTGGCAACAAGGGACACAGTAATTTGACTTTAATTCAAAGATCCCCCTGGTTTTAAGTGTATTTAAAGAGCTCATTATCTACACTGGTGGCAATTAGCAATCTCTGATTTTCTGGCTGTGTTAATGCAAAAAAAAAAAAAAAAATTCCACATTATTGTCTTCAGGTGACTGTAGAACAATGTCTACTTTGCATTTTTTGCAGGAGATTTTCAGACACTCCCAATGGAGATACTGCTGACTCCATTTCATTTTTTAAAACTTCAAGGCAACAAAGTAGCCTGCGTTTCTAGAAATGATGATTAATTCATCCTGGATTTACTCCCCGCTATTAGCTGCAAAAGAAAAGTGCATTTTTAGGTATACTTTTAAGATGTACCTTGAAATTAAGTCTCTTTTTTTCTTGGTGGACTTTGTCATCTGTACTTTTCTCAATATAGGCAAATATGAAGTAGAAAATCATCTCCCTGTTTTCTAAAACCACCATCTGGATAAGAGCATAACTGTAGTCCTGCATGTTGTATTTGAAAAATATATAGAAATATAGGCTTTTATATGTAGAGTGAGCATAAATTGTGCGCTCCATCAAGACCATAAAGCCAGTGGAAATCAGAATCCAGTAGGTTTAAATGAAAAAATTCAAATCAACAATATTATTCCATAGAACAACACAGCATTGTGGGCTGACTTAGCCTTTCATGGCCGGGCAAATCATTACAAGTCATATGTACTTAAAGAATTGATTTAAAAATGCACAAATATTATCTGGAGACAGTGAATAACACACCCCCAAGCATTATTTTGATGTTTTAGATTCAACCTGCAAATATTTTTTCATATCGATCTGACCACACCACCCACATCCAGGCTAAGGCGACTGACAGCGTTAACCAAGGTGCCCTCTTTTCAGACTGTATATCTGATTAGAGTAGCAGGAAAGTGAACCGAGAACAGTAACA